GCTTCTAGAACACAAAAATTTCGCGGGGGAATGCCCCGGACCCCCTACGACAGTGTTGTCTCAATCGGCCCAACTTTCGGCCCCCACTTTTGGACATTTCTGGATCCGCCCCTGCATATGTTACTACTGTAAATAAAACTGTCTAACAACACCAGTGTAACCTTACCCTGACACTGGAATATTCAGTCTCGGGATCCGTATGGATAATTTTACCTTCACTCTTGACAAGATCAAGGTCAGCATACGTCAGCTGCTCTACATTCTGGAAAAAATAAAACCAATATTTATAGGATGGGATCTTATTGTTTAAAAACTTTTACAATAGAAACTCTAAAAAAAACTTATTCTTTTTTAAGCTGTTGGCAATGTATTCATACAAATAAACAAGTCATATTGTATTCATACAAACAAACAAGTCATATGTGATTCAATAGGCTTACAGTGCATACTCAATACAATTTATTATTAACTATATTATATTTTAGATCGTATACATTAACGACTATTCATTACTAAACTAATACAGTACTGCAATTCATTACTAGATCACAAATGTTTTACACAGTTAAGTACTCAATAATGTACAGGATAACCCACAAAAGTCTGAAGGCGGCTTATTTTCAGTGGGGTCCTTCTATGGGTGATTGGGCAGTACACCGTGAGAAAACCCCCCCTAACCCTCTACTCTTTTCTGAAGAGTGTACTGAGTTTTTAAACATGCACATATGGGGGAATAACTGTTTTTTTGTTGTTCTATTGTTCATGTTTTATGATCGGTTTATTTTATTTCTGTTTTTACCATAAATTGTTTGCCCCTTTTTTTTTTTAAATGATAAATAGGAGCAGGCGGAAAAAGGTTTTTTTTAAAAAAAATACTCATCAGATGGCCTTATATACACATATGCTTTGGAATACTAAGCCTTCATATTACCACATCTTTTATTTTTTCCATGAGCACTGGTATATAAATTTGTAGTAATTGTTATTTATGCATAATTGTATTCTATTTCATGGCTTGGTAACTAACAGCATAAAGCTATACAACAGTAGTCACCATGATCTGACGCAATGCGGCAATAGTAGTTAATCCACCTACTGTCTATCTTATTTTTTATATTTTGCAAATAATAATCATAAAAGGTAACCACTGAAAACAAAAAGACCTTTGCTTGACATATTTCCTTGTCAAAGTACACTGACTCACTTCCCCTGTCAACAAGGAACCACAAAAATAAAATCCAAAATCATATCAGCACTTCACTAATAATACGAATCATTGATTTTACTTAATGTTTGTATTGGTGATTGTTAGTAGGAGACCTAAATGTATAAGTGATTGCTGGCAAGCGATCTTAGTAACGTCAACATGATTAGTAAAGAAATACTCCAAACATTACATTCCAGAGAAATAACAAAATGATAAGTTACTTAAAAAATAAATAGGAACTTAAAATCAGCCACTACTTCCTGCCTACTTCAGAACATTATTTAAAATAAATTAATCTAAAAACATGAATATATATTGGAATGAAGTAAATCAGTAATATTTTAATATCTCAAACAATTTAATTCCTATAAATTTTATGACTTGTATATTTACAAATATACTTACAGCTCTGTCTCTACTGGGTGCACGCTGTGGTTTGTCAGGGGGTTTGGTTTGGGTTACAGCTTGTTCAGAATGCTCTGACTTTGTAGCTTTTACTGGCTTTGGTTTTTGTACTTGTGCATAGGTATTAAATTGAACATCAGAAAAGTTTGAATTTAAACCAATATTTTCTGAGCCACCGCCACTTGCTTTTTTTGCACTATAAGTGGTACAAGATTTAAATCAGATATTTAAATTTCAAAAATGCATAAAATTAATCAATTTTAAAAATTTGTATGGCAAGCATGTGCATAGAAAAAGATACTGTAGGTGCCAGATAGGATACTAGAAGCCGGGAACCTTGAGTTCGCAGAGAAACACTACAAGTTAGTTGAGTCTAAATACATAAGGAAGTATAGCTATAATAATGTAATGGTTTTAATACACTACAGCAAAGCAGTGCACTGTAAGTAGAAAAATGCAGCATTTTAGCATATATTTTTATGAGTAGATCTCACAATTCCTGGTTCAAATCTTGAAACAGAATTTAACTTTTTAATAATCTGAAAAAAATACTTCATTCACTTTGATCATAGAGCAACGTATTATTGGCAGGCATATTTGCAGTTGTTATGGGATAAAAAAATATTGTTAAAAACAATTATCTTATTTATGATTTCACTTGGAATGTAATAGCAACATTCAAGCAT